CACACAATAAGTAGTACTATACTTATCACTGTTATCAATCTTTCAATACATTCACATAAATATATACTAACGCTCATATCAACGAATAATTATCCAGTCAAGTCTAATCTTAATAAATATGTCCTTCATAATTTATTTATTTTATTTTATTTTATTTTAACACATAGATATTGGTACAAGAAGGCACCAAATAGATATGAGCTACACAGATCTCATTTGATATGTGTGAGGGCTGTGATACTGACCGGGTGCCCACACCGAAACAGGTGGTTTTCTTAGGAGGCCACACCCGGAGCCTCCGACCTGAAGGTCTGATCCACAAGGCAGTGGAGTATCCTAAGGAGATGCAGTCCCATGGTTGCCGGTAACCAACGATTGGTTCATACGCCATTTGTTCACGCAGGATACTGGGGCCCATGTGCACCATTGGTTTGGAATGAGGGTTTTCCAACTCCCCTAGGTGGACTCTCCATGTCCTTCATAAGATAATACATCAATGTTGTGCACTCTCATAACTGTTTTTATGGACTTGGTAGTTCCAAATAAATTGGGTAGAAGTTTAATAATAAACACATCTCTCTGTTATATTCCAATTGAGTAGAAAATTGTATTTCTGGTGTTTCGTGACAATGTAAGCCACTTTTTCAGAGTAAATAAACAGCTGAATTAAGTTTAAATAGTACAAACGCAAAAATGCAGATTGTTTTTTCAGTACAATAAAAATCATAATAGGTCTGCATATGTCGATGTCAAGTTATTCAATGTATCAATGTATTTATTGTCCATACAATTTTCACACACAAACACACACTCACCCAATTTCAACCCCACAACTCTATATTACAAATGTATACATTTTATATCCATCTTCTGACGCACAGTGATATGTCATACAAATTCACCTTGATCAGAAAATAACTTGATATCGAGATATTCGAACCTATAATGTTTTTGATTGTACTAAAAAATATTCTACATTGGTTCCTTGTGTACTATTTAAACGTGTGTTAATTTAATTTTGTCATTCATCTACTCTGAGGAAGTGATCTACATTAAGTCACCAAATGTCAGAAATACAATTTTCTACTCATTGGGATATATATCATTGTTATATACAATATTATTATCATATTATAGTTTATATATATGAACACAAGAGTATTTATTTAGTCATATGTGCCCTTTAGATTTTAGGCGCATCTCCAGAGTATGCTAAGTTTGGTAATAATGTTAATTATCCAAATGAATAACAAACATTTGGTCCATCTTCTTCGAGAATGATCATGAAGGTTCCTAAAGAGTGACGATTGGTTTAAGAATTTCCAACACTTTCCCGACTTTTGATTAAATTTCAATGGATTGTTAAGGGTTCTAAATAGTATAATTGATGACATGCCGTAACTGTTACACTGTATCATAAATTGCATAAAGTTGAATTTAGATTGACTGATCCAAAGTTATCATAAACTCAATATGACCCGGAGATCGGTAGTGAACACTTCGGTATCAGTCTGAAAATTACTGCTAGATGATAACTAAACTAAAAAATAAAGGATTAAAGCTAAGAGTATTTATAAGTAACCATATGAAGGTGGTTCGATAGTCCAGTCACTCGATTTTCAGTGACTAGGTCATAAATTTAAATCAGTCAGCCAGTTACTTTGACTTAGGTAGTTCAGTATATATATCACTAGTCCTTGAATAAAAAGTATGGTTTTTGACGAGAGAGCATTATCCTGTACCTGGTTATGAAGTTGGATCAGGTGAAAATTTTCGGGATTATAAAGATAATCTATGTCCATAAAACATCTGTAAATAGCCTTTTCTATTTATTATGATTCGACTGCTTAGTAACCAGTCGCCCATCAAGCTAGTCACCGGTGTTGATAAGGAATGTGAACGAGACAAGGAAATTGAATCCCTGAAATAGTGTTTCCTCTCATGTAATTCGAACTGTAATAAACATGAAGGAATTCAAAGAACTACTATCGATCAATAAACTTGAGTTAGCCAGCTATACATAGAATTAGTTAGTTGCATTGCACGATGTTAATGACGGTATTTTCCACAAAATCACCTATTCTGATAGTTATTTTAGTGAGGATTTTTTATCTCTCGTATACTTGGTACATGACTAGTATTAGAATCGAGAAATCCCATTTATTTCCATTTGGAACTTGTCAGTTATATGTACCTGCATTCAACATGAACACTGGGGTATAGGTCTGTCCAGAAGACAAGTTCCAAACAGAGCAAAATATGTGTCCTGAAGTTCACTGCTAGCTGAATATCAGATATACTAAAACGTTTTTTTAGTGTCCTAAACCTTTTTATACTGACGTTATCCAGCTTTTACCATTTAGTTTTAACTATCTTCATTTTATAATCTTCACATCAATTTTAAGTGATCAGTAATTTATGTTAATTCACTATGTGAATGATTTAATCTTTAAAAATCTGAATTGACCTATGATAAGCAACTTATTGTAAGTAATCCATATAATAAGGTATAAAACTACAAATTAATATCCCATCGACCTTTCATTTTGTTAGTTAACGTTAATTCCATTTGATAAAATGATCATCTATAGATTGTTGTATCGTAATTAATGTGATTTAATTTTTTGATATAAAAAGGTTATCCCAATGTTGATTAATCTTCACCCAGCGTGTTTGATAGACTGATTACTTACAGTTAAGCAATTCAAGATAACCTTTCTTGGCAAAAGTTATCATTCATATTTAGATATTTTATATATGATCATCGATATAATATTAATCATAATAGATGTTTCACTTGTTGAAGTCATGAGTCGATTGAAGCTAGACCACCATGGAAAGCCTGGAAGCACTGGACTGCCGTTTCGTTCTAGTATGGGACTCCCAGACTCATGATTTCAACGAGTGAAATTTCTAAAAATCTCCACAAAAACCCATTCTGATAATAATAATCACCTGCTCACTAGTGACTGACTCCAGGAGAAACTCCTGGAGTTCTAGTGAGAAGTCGTTACCAGTGGAGTTCAACCAGGTCTGTTGTGAGATATCAACTTACTGAAGACAATGGTGTACGGTGGCGCAACTTCGTGGATTGGTTGAAGTTAGACATTAACACCGTTGGATGCCGACCGGCTCAGTGGTCTAGTTGGTTAAGCGCCTGGCGTGAGAGCGCTAGGTCCTGGGTTCGGATCTCGTGGGGTGCGGTATCTTGGATGCTCACTACCGAGGAGTCCCATACTAGGACGAAACGGCCGTCCAGTGCTTCCGGGTTTTCCATGATGGTCTACTTTCAATTGACTCATGATTTCAACAAGTGAATTTTCTAAAAATCTCCACAAAAACCCATTCTGATAATAATAGTTGTATCTGTGAAACTGTATTGTACTGACGACCCGGAGTGACCCAGTTATAAACCAGTCAGGATACGGGTAGTTTAAGTGAATAACTTATTACAGAGAACTCAACATTTTAGAAGGCATACATACTATTTCACATGATTAATAAATATACTGAAGTGCTGTATTCTTTTAACTGGATATTTTGATTGTAAGTTTCCATTGTCTTTCTTAACAACTTCAATTCAATTACACTAATCTTCACTATGAGCTGAAAGATATTCCTCATTCCTTCAAAAGTCTATTACTTTACATGGATACATAGTAGTTTATAGACTAGGTCATATTTTGGACATTTTCATTTCGAACATATATTTTATTGGTTAAAGAAAACTTCCATGCACTGAGCTTTCCTCTGTTTTTATTCAGAAAAAACCAGTGCGAATCATGAGATATATGCTATCAATTGTTTAACTCGGGTTATGATTGCTCGCAAATCCTATTCATGGATTCATTATTCTAATTTTCAGTTTTCAAATGCCTTCGTACTTTCATGGCAGAATGTAAAATTAAAGTAAGGCTTGTTTCTGGACCTTATTTACTGAGTCGATAGATAAATTGGAATTGATTACTTAATTTTCAGCATTCCCATTTGGAAGTGTTTTGGTGGAAACCGGCTAATATCTTCATTAAGCGTTCTTTCCTATTCTAAGCAAAAAGCACTCTATTCACATCTTTAACTACATTCATAACTTATGAGCACGATACAGGATCTGATAGCTTCAGTAAATGCTTTCTCAATATTTCGATGAGATGTAAAGAATTGATTTTCTCTAAATCAGTGACTACATACGTGATCGAATCTACAATCTTTTTTGTCTTATAATATACATGACGTCGCAGGATCACTAATTTCATATTAATCAGGCAATGACTTTTGAGACTTATTGAAGTCATATAGTTAACCCATTGTTTCACTAAGACCTGAACGTGGTGTTAACTATAAAAAAGTTTAGACTTATCCACAAACCACCTATACTTATTAATAATCATGTAGCAATCAGTGGTTGATTTTCAAACATAATTCCAAAGTTCTAGTAAGAAGCCATGACTAATGGAGTCCAGCTGCGTCGAGTGTGAGACAGTTATCTACCAAACAGTTAACTGATATTATGAATTCACAAAAGTTTAACAAGAACACTGTTGAATTTCAGCCCAGTAGTTTAAAGATTAGACTTTCACGTATGTGATCGATGGTCTAGGGTTCCATAATTTTGGATAGGGTCATGATTATGCACTGTCAATTATCTTATACTATAACAAAACATCTATCCTATATTTCTTGACTTTTAATAGTTATTCAACTAAAGCCAGTCTATTGTATGAACCGCCAAAAATTAAAATAAACAACCGAAATAATTATAAATTTTCTAAGTTTATTTGCTAACTTACTTACGCTCTTTAGCCTTCCTCTTTTCCGCTTCCTTTCAGGATTCCAAGTTAGGGCTTGCCTCATGATGCAGTTTGATGATTTCTGTAATGTATGTCCTATCTATTTCCATAGTCTTTTCTTAATTTCCTCTTCAGTTGGAAGCTGGTTTGTTCTCTTCCACAACAGACTGTTTATTCTAAGTTTATTATGACAGAAATGAATCAAAAACAGCA